TATTATTATTATTATTATTATTATTATTATTATTATTATTATTATTAGTGTTGTTGTTGTTGTGTGTTGTTGTTGTTATAAGTGGTTGTAGTAGCTACTAATGCAATGTATTACGTTTGAATTACTGATTAATTCAAATTTATCAAAATTATATTAATAGTTATGTCATTTTGAAATGAGGAAAATTTACTATACAAGGATTTATTATCTGTTTTATAAGTTGAGTCATTAGTAATTAGAACACTGAGGTGACTGATCTGTGGTGGGGGGAAAAATTGTATTCCTTTTTTTTACTGTGCTTATGATGAGATGTGCACGTTTCTAAAATAAAGTATTTTCTCAGTTTCGGGAGTAAAATGATCCGTTTTACTGACTATAACCAAAATCCAGTTGTCCATTTGTTGCTATTTGCTCAGGAATCTCTTGTAGAACCTGCCTATGAATGCTTTTGGAACGTTATCAAGACATCAGCAGAGTCAAATGAGTCTGCTGGTGGGGGTCGGGCAGGATTGGGGTGAGGGGTGCAGGGGGTAGGAGGGTGGGGCGGGGTTGCAGGAGACTGGGGTGGGTGTAGCAGAGCAATGATGGAAATGGGATTGTACTTAGTGCATCAGATTTACACATCTGGGCAACATTTCTGAGCACATGCACTGCTTTAAACCTCCGGAGAGTAGGTGTGAAGGTTTGGATCCCTCTGGTCTGTCAGAGCCCATATTCTGGAGACGAGGGGCGGGAAACGAGAGGAGGATCAGAACAGCCGTGTCCTGTCTGGGCACTGATCCTCCCTCCAGAAACATCCCCAGCACTGCTTCAGCATGTTCTGTTCAAGCAGTGCGTATAGGAGGGACGGCTCTGCCAAGCTAACCCTCCTTTGTGAACTGATGGATGACCCAAAAAGAAGATCTCACCTCCAAGAAAGATACAAAGAATCCTATACCTCCCATACCCATGGAGGTGGATTCATATATAATCTCTCAACAAGCTATTAAAAAGAAAAGTTGACTGGTTAACTAACCTATCCATAATAAAGATATCTGTGGAAGTAGTCAGCTTAATCTTTCCTCCCCTCTTTGCACCATGCTTCACTGAGGTCACATAATAAGACTGATGCAATTGTGCAAATGCTATACTCTGCCCCAAGAGGGCCAATGTAACTTTAAAAAGCAACTTCTCCACCTCTATCTCCTAATATGATTTTCATGAACATAAAGTCTTTTTTAAAGCGACGCTTATCTCCAAATGTCATCAGCTCGCACTACAGGGACGGAAGAAATGGCAAAAAGAAGAAGACTGAAAAAAAAAAACAATAACGTGGTTTACTCGAATTTGATTCAGCAATGCAGAGATGCTGTACAGATGTGGTTCTGAGCAGAAACAAGAAAATTGGATTCTTCCCCCGGTATGAAAAAATCTAAACCTCTCCCACGAGGACAAAAGAGGATTTGAACTTTGAGTGGTGTTAATGACGGTGATTGTGTGTGTGTTTATTGGAGTCCTCTGGCTTGTCTACGGGTGCAAGGAACTCGTGGTTGCTGCATTGTCTGCTGCCTTCATTTAGGTCCTTTTTTTGCAGTGCTGCAGCAGTCCACAGAGACTACAGGCTGTTCTGCGTTCAAACGCCTCGTCTGCCATCTAAATGAGGCTTTCAGGGCAAAAAAAGTAAAGGGGGGGGAAAAAAATTCAACATGAAAATCCTACAATGTGCTGAACATTAGCTCACGCTCGACAGAGATGTTTTGGGAATATGTTGATTCTCCTTTTTTTTCGGATTGTTATTTTTCCATGTGTATTCTCCAACTGCTGTCTACCCACAGGGCACCAGGTCCTCCAGTTTGGAAAAGAGGAGGCATGAAATTGACATTATACCCTTTAATGTGGTGCAGATTTGAAAGAGGAAAAAAAGTGCTCTACTGACAATGCTTCAAAGTCAGACGCATAGACATTTATCTGTTTCTAACAAACTAGTTTGCACTTAAAACCCTCCACTGATTGCAAGTAGTTGTCTAAAAATGTTCTTTTTTATATAAAAAAAGAGCATTGTCCATAAGTCTCTATTAAGGTGCTGCAAAGCTTATGGTCAAAGTCTCAGGAGAAATGCAACATTTTTTACAAATCAATAACATTCAAATAATTCATGAGTGATCACTTGGTGTTTTAGCTCCTTATTTGCAGTTAAAAAAAACATGTTTTGTTTAGCTCCCAGAGGACAACATGAAAGACCCTGAGAAAGGCGGGGAGATTTGGGGATGGAAGTGAGGAGAGTGCATGAGGATAATAGGAGGACATTGATCATTTGGTGCACAAGAACAAACTCAACCTGTTAGTCAAGGCTAACAAAATGTACTGTTTATACATTATTTATACGCGTCTGGGTTGCTTGTGTACATTCTGTTACATCAGGTTTGCATCACCCTCTTTGGAGGGGGGGCCACTGCACAGTGACCTGAGGTGCTAAGAACGAGAATCCTAGTTTTGTAGCTGTCTACATTTTCTCCAGCAAAGAGGATTTAAAAAAGAAAACACAAACGAAAGAAGAGGAAGACGTATAATTCAACCGCCAACAGACCACAGCGGTCAGTTTGATCCCGATTTCAGTTAGA